TGGTTAAGTGTGCCTTGAACTTCTTAATACATCTCCAGCAGTGACACCAGAAAAGCCCCCCCACACTATCACACTTCCTCCTTCATGCTTCACGGTGGGAACCTACACGTGCAGAAACCATCCGCTCACCTTCTCTGCGTCACAGCGGTTGGAACCAAACCGATTTGAGATTTCCACTTTCTGATGTCCAATCCTTGTGTTTCTTGGCCCAAACAATTATTTTCTTCTTGTTGTGCATCCTCAGTAGTGTCTTCTTTGCAGCAGTTGGACCATGAAGGCCTGATTCACGCAGTCTCCTCTGAACAGTGGATGCTGAGATTTGTCTGCTACTTGAGCTCTGTGATCATTTATGTGGGCTCTAATCTGAGGTGCTTTAATTTGCGGTTTTTAAGGCTGGTAAGTAACTCTGATGTATTTATCCTCTGCAGCACAGCTCACCCTTGCTCTTCCTTTCCCGGGGGGGTCCTCATGGGAGCCAGTTTCATCATAGCGTTAGATGGTTTTTGCGACTGCACTTGAGGATAAATTCAAAGTTCTTGACATTTTCCGGATCAACTGGCCTTCATTTCTTAAAGCCATGATGGACGGTAATTTCTTTCTTCTTTACTGAGTTGAGTCGTTCATGCCATAATATGGATTAAAACAGTATTCAAATAGGGCTTTCCACTGTGCACTAACCCTATCTGCACAACGCGACTGATGGTCTCAAATACATTAAGAAGGCAAGCACTTGCACAAATTGACTCTTGACAAGGCACACGTGTCAATTGAAAACCATTCCAGGTGACGACCTCATGAAGCTGACTGAGAGAAGCCAAGAGTGTGCAAAGCTGTCATTAAGGCAAAACAGGGCTACTTTGAGGAATATAAAATAAAAATCATATTCTGTATTTTTTAACACTTTTTTGTGAACTAGATAATTCCATATGGTTCTTTCATAGTTTTGATTTCTTCAGTATTAATCTACAAAGTATAAAACATTTAAATAAAAACAAAATAAAGAATAAAACTGTATAATCTAACATTCCCATATCAATGCAACAACAGATGCTTATATTAAACAAAAATGCATGCTAAACACTCGTTTTCTTCAATGAAAGAATAAAAGTACAAAATACTCTTTTTCCTTTTCTAAGAATTTCCCTTTGTTGTTAAAACTAGATCATGGTAAAGGTTGGAACTATCAGCACATTAAAAGACTACTGTACAAAATGGCCTGTGTTTTCAAACATGTTGTATTGGCTCCTTTATTTTAAATATGACTTAAAATATATTCAACAGAGATGTTCATTAAATAAAATAGTATGCAAAACTATACCATTTCTCAATTAATAGAGACTCAATTATTTGCATACATTTCTAATACCTGGGTGTTAAATGTATTTTAATTAGAGTTGTTCTTTGTTTTATGCTTGTTCTCAACTTTTAATCAACTTAATTTCTATTTATTGCACGGTTTATTCTCTGCTCTTCTGTCTGCTCAGCACTGACCTGCCTGTACTTGTGTATTTTGTATTTCTGCTACTTTACAAAATTCAAATAGCGTGTGAAGTGGAAGGAGTCAATACAAAACAAATAATAATAATTACGAAATAGCTCATGGTTACAGAATCACACATTCGGCTCCCACCTGGTTGTTATCAAATAGAAATGGTGATAAAAAAGCACTGCCAAATTTCTTGTCCAATCTTTCCGCAGCCTGTTATTATTAGAGCTTAATATCAAGCTCATGCATGCTCACACTATCAAAGACATCCTTGGGTATTTTTTATTGAAACTTTTTTTTTGTATTGGCAGTATCACTCAGCTTTTTATGGAAGAAACAAAGGGCATAGCATTCCATCTCTGCTCCACCTTTTCTTCCCGCCCTCGCTAGGTGTATAAAATCGGGGGGATTTCACCGTCAGGCACTTCACTCCTTTTCCTCTGCTTGAAATCGGACTGGGGCGAAAAACCATACAACTCTGTGAGTATTCTATATTTTTATTTTGATAGATGGGTTCATATATATATTACTCTGCAAGAATAGTTTGATGCAAAAAGGAGTTTTTAAACTTTACTGGTAATATGTGCTAAAACTGCATTTTCAGTGTTTTAAATGGATCGAACACTGACTTTCTTTTTGTTGCAGAATCATGAGCAGAAACTTCTTGTCCAAAAATGATGAGCTCCGCAAGGGAGACCATCTGGTGTCCAACAACGGAGAGTTTAAGGCTGTCTTCCAGGTGAGTGACTCAGAATATGTGTGCACTTGAGACCCTTATCAGTGTGCATGATACAAATGCAATGGTCTTTACAGCAAACGGTTAACAAGCGTCTCTGTTTCTGCCTGCAGGATGATGGTAACTTTGTGGTCTATGGCTGGCAGCCCGTGTGGGCTTCAGACACTGCAGGGTCATCCCCTTTCCGCCTGTGCATGCAGGGGGACTGCAACCTGGTCATGTACGACAAGGGGGACAAAGCCATCTGGCACACAAACACCTCCAAATCTGACTGCAACATTTGCCGCCTTCAGCTGACCAATGAGGGCAAACTGGTGGTGAACAAGGAACAAGATGAAGTCTGGAACTCTGATGAATCCACTGGTATGAAGTGATCCATTGTGTTTGAAAATCATGTTTTGAAGTCAATTCGATTCACCATTTAACATGCTTGTTATGTAATAAAATAAACAAACGTTCACAATGCATATATGAGTTTCTGTTCTGTTTGAGTGACCTATGTTCTGGCTAAATGGTGTGTTGAACAAAGGGACTGTCATTGATGTATGTGAAAGAGGGGCACATACAGTATGTTCTATATATACTCAGAGATCAAAACGTTAACCACTTTACTGATAATAGGAGCTTTATCTGTGATAATGACTCACTTTAGAGAGGAGATGAACATCCATGAGCTTGAAGCTGTCATTCATAAGCAACGTCAGGAAAGATACACCTTGTGTTAAAAGCATTAACGTCTTTCTCTTAGTTTAGAAAATATCATAAAATCTATCTGTTTAATTACTATTTCCAAATTAACATATCATGATAACAGATTTAAAAGTACCGGTATGTATAAGAGGGGTAAAAGGGCACCAAGATAGGTTACACAGAGCTCAAAGGATACTCAAATAAGGTAATAACAGAAGTGATATAACCTCTAGTAAAAGGCAAGTGCTTGCATTACACATCCTGACAAAAAAGTTTATGTCAGGATGTGTATTAAAATCCAATCAGACAAAGACAATAGGAGAGTGAGTTGTAACTAGTTTGAAGATTAAGCCACCATTAATTTACCAACGGTAAAGTCAATCTTATACAGTAACTTTATACAATGATCTGCAACAGTGTTATAGGTTAATGGAGAGCGTAGGAGAGTAGGATGTCTACCTCCCTCTCTGCATGTGTCTATAAAGGCAGCAAATGAAAGCATTTTGACATTTAATATACTATCAGCTTTAATTAGCCAACAATAAACCTGTACTACTTTCCTGTAACGTTCTACTTGTAATGCAAATATCTTGCTATAGAAGAAAGGTAGTTGTATCAGAATGACTATCAGCTACAGTGGGGGGAGTAGAAATAGATGTTTGCATTAACTGCAATTTCAAATTCGCCTTTTAAAGACTAAAACTCTTCATACACTACATTCACATGGGGCTGACTGTCTTTCTAGGAAAGGTAGACGAACTGTCTTGAACTTTAATTTTAAGAAAGAGGAATTAAAATCAGTAATTTAGGGGAAAACAGAAGTCCAGTTAGGGCTGACGACAATGATCACAAGGCATTGTGTGTGTTATTTTCTCACCATCTTCCCTCTCTATAGCTCTAATGTCTACGTAAGCACTTGTTCCTTTGATGGCCTGATTAACAAAATGAGAGCCGTTATCGCTCGTTCATGTACGACTCCAAAAGAGTACTTGAGTCCGTCCAAATGGTGACATCGCATTAGTTAAAAGAAAACCAAAATCTGGATGTGCTGGGACCCTGAATAATGTGTTGGAGAGATCCCCAATGGAAAACTATTTAGCATCAGAGGGCACTGGTGACAAAATAGTGTAAGGGTTTGACCCATTAGGGGCTCTTGGTTGGACTGCTGCATTTACTGCTTTCAAATCCTGCTCAAACTTCCACTCTTTCTCTCTGATTGTCTTCACCGAGATAAAGGGAGTGGTGAATCATTACAGGGAACAATTATAATTACTCCTGCCTGTCAAAGAGAATCAAACAAGTGTTATTCCTTCAATATCCTCCTGCTTTAAAGGATATTGTTGTTTGCTTGGCCTGTGGGCAAATGTGGGTCTTATAAGTACTAAGTCATACTTCCCCTGGGCCCATAGTGAGGAGTGGACTTCCTTCATGGCTGTGGGGAGAGATGCAGTCAGATAAGAATGTATGTGTTTGTGTGTGTATGGAGTTGCTTTTCCTTAGAAACAAACCCAGGTCTCACCACTGGTCATTTTGAGACTTTGTCAGTGAGATGTGTGGTTGTGAATTGTTCACCAGAAAGAACGTTGCTGAGCTTCACTCAGATTCCCAGAAATAGCTCACCTGCTATCAGACCAAAACAGAGTAGAATACTTCATAGAATCTTTCAGGTCAGAAAACCTGTTCCAAAGTATTTCAGGCCCTTGTGACACATAGGACATACAGTGTGAGTAGCCTGAAGTCATTCAATCTGCACAGTTGGATACAATATTTTAGCTCTTTTAATCATACATTTTTAAGAAGGGAACTTCTACTGATATACATACAGAGAAATGTTGGGACTGTATGTTACCATTGACATGTCGACATTAGGAGTCCTAACAACTTTGAACCCTGGTGTAGAGATTAGACGTATGCCCAATGCGATCATCAGATCTCGTCCTTTCAAACTAACTGGACACAGGTTTGAGGCCAAAAATGCATGCTTGATCTTTATATGAGGGGCAGATTCTTCTTCATGAACACAAACAATTGGTACTGTGAATTTTCTCTGATTGTCTTTCCTGATATCCCGAGAGAGAACACATCACTTTCTCTTTGCTCTGGATCAGGTTAGTCTTTGTCACCACTGAGTGAGTTTCTCCTCATACAAGAAATGTGATCACATTATTTCCCAGAATAAACAATGTCTCTGGTAAGATCTTAAGGGTCATTCCAGAATTGGAGGACATTTCATGTCCCCATATAAAAAATCAAATAATCCAAGCCCAAAAAGCTGAAACATGCACTTGTTCTGTTAAATATACTTCTCTTGAGACAAGATGTACTGTATATAAAGCTGTAGAAAAAGTCATTTCAAAATATCATTTAAAATATCAAATAGCTCTCAAACTTCCCCTAAAATTGCCTTTTTCTCTTGTCCCCACTTCTTGTTGACCAACTTGCATGTCAAATATAACATGTAAAATAGGGTTTTAATTTACTTTGTTTGGTATTATTTTATTGATATATTTCCGTTGTAATGGTAAAATCAATTTGTTAAATCATAAACATATTTTAAATAACAGTAATTTTACACTGAAGGTGTGTCCCTCAACATGCGTTCAACCCAGTCTATGGTTCAACCCTGTTACCCAAACCTTTTTAGCTTGGCAGAGGAAGTGAAAACACTGTTTTTCACTTGACACAGTGGGAAAGACATCAGCAAGCCATGTGCTACTGTACTACCATGGGTAAACAAAAAGTATGTCCTCTCTTTTATTTTTTATATATTTCCAATCTTGTCACTCTTGAAGGAGTGTGGCACTCATACAACACAACCCTGTTACTCACATAATGAGACTAAAACAAATTAATTTCAAATGTATCTTTCTTTAGTTACATATCTAAGTGTGTCCATTCCTTGACAATAGCATTACATTGTGCAGTTAGCATTCATTCCAGAGATAAAAGCAAAAATTAGCATTGATTTTCAACTGTTACTATAAGTATAATATATAATAATAACAGGGCTGATTCTTCATTGGAAAATATTTATAAAATATTATCAAACAACATTTCTGTGGTCCTGAGTATTTATTTGTTTCATTTATGTCATTATCTACAATCAAAAGTAATGTAGCCATTCAACCCTGTTACTTACGCAACCTTGATACTCTAATTTCAACCCTGTTACTATCATTTTCTATTAAAATAATCAAATCAAACCAGTTTCATCCAAAAACGACATGAGTATTTAATGTAAATGTGACTTCCTTTACTTAATAGTAAAGAATTGTATTGAAGAATATTTCTGAAAATACTTTTTTCTGCTTAATGAGTATTGGTAACAGGGTTGCACAAAGCATGGCACACAACAAATAAAACGTCTTATAAAAAGTGTACATTTGATGCCTTAGCTGGGCAAATCACTTTTCTTGATGGTTTATTATCTGTTTTTCCTAAATACATAACAAAAAAGAATGAAATAAAAGGTTGATTTTTCAAAGGTGTTGATGTCTAAATTGTCCTCCAATTCTGGAATGACCCTTAAATAGTTCTGTGGGTATTTACTATAGGTTCCACTTCTTCGTTGTATGAGCTGTGTGTGTGTGTGTTTCACTTCCCTTATTGGACAATTGTTTGCCCA